CCGTGACACTCTTGATTTTTGTTCTTGAATGAAGTGAACATATACAGGGGTCTTTGACACCACAAACCTTATACCCTGCAAAGGGGGAAAAAAGTGAAAAAACCCGAAACACTCCCTGAGTGAATCTTTATGGTGATTCAAAATACTTTAGGTAGATCCTATCTTATGCTTTATAAGTTCCTGACTGATTGTGTGGAATTAAGTTATTGGGCAGAGAACCAGCTAATGGAAACACATTGATGAAATCATTTTTGAGGGACATTAAATGGGACTTAAAATAAAGCTGAAATGGCTTTATGGATTTTTCAGTCAAACTGTTTATGAACATTTATCGGTGGTAAATTACACAGTGTCAGAAGAGGGAATCAGTATAATAGAAGCCTCTCTGATATAATACTGTGAGAAAGAATAATTTATTGCCTAGGGATGTACAGTACAGTGTGTTTAAATACTAATGATATTATTATTTTCTTCTGTCTTTGGCTGATTGCACGTAAGTTACCCTTAGCTGCAGCAGAGAGTCTCATATGATGAAAAAAAATTTCAATACTTAGCAATGAAATAGAAATTTTCTGTATGCTCTTTTCATGGCAGATAGGAAATGTTTTAATAACAGCTAATTCAGGAGTCAGAAACTGTTTTGTACAATAATAAATGTGGGTTACATTTGCTTTATACTCAGTAAAAGAGGAAGAGGGATAGAGCAGCTTTGATTGAAAAGGGAGATTGTAGCAACTGATTCTTGAACTGTTGGAGCTGTTTGTTAATACCATTTGCCAAATCCCATCATTTCTCAGGTAGAGGACAGTGAAATTAAGAGTGGAGGAATGCAAGACTAGAAGGAAATAGCTGGTCCTGAAACTACTGCCCCTTGTTTCTGAGACACCAGCTCTTCCAGTCAGGACTTTGTCAGATCTGTCATGTTGTCTGTCCCATCTAACTGAAAAGCTGCCCCCATTGTAGCTCCTCTATTTGCTGGAAAACCCTCACTTTCCTTCCCAAATAAACTCAGGACCAGTTTACTGCCACTCCTAAAAGCACTGGCTCTCATATAAACATTGGCTTGGAGCCTGTGGTTGTTTTCCCTTGGTGTTATTTACCCTCCTAATGTATTTATGCACAGCATGAGTATCCTTCCTTAGCACATTGTGCTGCTCAGCTGCAAAGCCAAGTCCTTCCAGGCTTCTTTTGCAGCACAGACTTGTGTTTGTGCAGTCAGGACAATTTTTCCTCTCCATACACTCTCCTCACTGGGGATGAGCAGAGGGAGCACACAATAGTTCAAGGATTCACTGATGATTCTTAAAATAATGTGATTTCCTTTTTTGTGTGAGTGTGTGTGTTCCTGTTAGACTTTATTCTTGCCTCTCAGTTTAATGTCATGTTTGCCTTCCCTTTGCCTCTGTCATGCTGCCATGAATCATGAGTAGCATTCTGCTTTTATCCAGGGATATTATATCTTGGAAGCCTCCAACATGTAGAAGAAATTTTTACTACTTTCTAAGCACATGACCTTAGACTTCACATTTTCAATCATTTGTTACTCCATAACATCCCAGTTTTCCTCAGCAGAGGCAGAATATCCCAATTCAGTGACAACAGCACATTTCCCTCAAACCTTCCTTCCTTTTTTTGCCAAAGCCTTGAGTCACAGTTGGATTCCATGATCTTCAGAGTCTTTTCCAACATAAGTGATTCTGTGATTCTAAAATCGCTAAATGAGGTCACTTCCTCCAGCCTTCACTTTCAACACCATCCAGCACTGATGCTGTCAAAGCCTGCCTGGGGACTTCCACAGTGGCCAAAAGCCAAATTTTCACACAAATGTCCAGTGGAGCTGGATTAGTCCAAGGCAGTTTCTTTCCTTGGGAGCTTCCGATCCCCCAGGCAGAGACTGAGACTCTCCAGTGTAGAATAGAGGGGGCTGGAGTGAGGGGGCATGTTTGAGGTCCAGAAAATTCCCAGTAGTACAGAAAGAAGAGGATGGTTCTTCACTGAAAATCATCAGGCAATTTTGGTGAAACCAAAGGGAGAACTTCTCCAGAGTGTTTAATTCATCCATCAGCCCCCAGCTACAGAAAGGGGGACACTTAGGATGAGGATTAGGTGAGGTAAGGAAAGTTTGTCAGTGTCTCTGATAAACTCTGCCAACTCAAGGGGACCTTCAGCTGCTGACAGCCAGAGCCAGGGGAGAGATGTCTCTGTCCTGGTCCCTCAGCATCCCCTCGTGGCTGATGTCCTGCTCAGTGACAGGGACAGGTGGCCCTTCAGGAGATTCTGTGTTATTAAAGAAGAATATTAAGGAGTTATACAGTCAAGGCAGAAAGCCTTATCAAGACAGATAGCATTCACTTCTAATTCGGATCAAAGGAGAGAAACAGAAGGGTTTGGAAATCTCATTCCTGTTCCCAGTGCATGAGGGACTTTTTAATGGATCTGGCAAGAAGGGAGATGGGAAAAGAGGGTTTGAGAACTGTGTAGGGAAGGGAGAACAAGAAAATGGAGGAAATTAATACGAGCTCTTTTATGTTAAGCCTTCTTGAAATAACTGCATTGGGGTTTTCATTGACCTTGTTTCCAAAGTTACTTCCTGCATTTAAAGTAAATTATGAAAGCCTGGAAAACCCCAAGTTTAGAAATAAGTTAAAGTTTCTCCCTATTCTGCAAGCACTTCTGGTTACAGGCAGGTAGTTATTTTGAGCTTTACATGACTTGAATATCTGACTTAAAATGTCTAAAAATTAATTAAAATGCCCAGCATAAAGTCATCATTAAGCCATGTGGGTGGAAAGGGTACAAGAATATCTACGTGCATCTCTCCGGCTGCACCTCTTCATCTTCCTTCCCTCAAAAATCACTGCTCGATTATGCAGATAAGTGCAGGCTGGATGTTTTGTTACATTTCATTGCAAAGCCAAGAGCCAAGGCAATTGTGTTGGATAAAGCAGAGATTTAAACCATTTGGAAACTGTTGAGAGAGGACAGATCTGATAGTAACAACCTTCATGGTTGGCAGGTTACAGCTGCTTGTGACAACTTGTAACAATGAAAGCCTATAGTAAAGTTAAAAGCTAAATATCTGTATTGTGCCATAGGATCAGTTTCAATCCCCAAGTATAAAGCTTCAGACTTTGGGCTGCTTTTATTGTCTTTGAGTTTACTTTGTTTTTCTCTGGGTTAAAAGGAGTTGGGGATTTTTTTTATAAATATTAGAGTACTTGTTTTCATTCTGGGTTGGTTTTTTTTCCTTAACACAGTGGGACAGCTTAGTTTATTTATTTCAGTGCAAAGAAAGTGTAGTCATACCACAGCTGTAGGTGTTTCTCACTTATGGCAGCAGTTACAGCAGGATGTTGTGTTGACATGTTTTGGACTATCTCAGAACATCTGTTTTTCTGTAATGATGACTTTCAAACTGCACATAGGGAGCAGTTACAACAGCATGTGTTAGGAGTGCTCTCAAACTGTACATGTAAAAGTTTTCATCAGGATCTATAGTTTGCACCAATAACTTTATCAGACTAAAATCTGGAGATGGAAATAAATACAGAAAGAATTAAAAAAATGCCACCACCGCTGTCTGCATGCTGCCACTAAAATTGCTGTGATGACTGCAGCTAATGAGTGACTAATTGTTCACAGTACATCTGAAGGCAAGACCACAGGTTTAAATTTAAGAATATAGGTCATACTTGCTCATTGGCTTGGCAGCTATATATTGGAGAAGAGGAATTTATAGTGCACACTGTGTGTGAGGCAGTTAGTGCCACTCTCAGCTGTGTTTTAATTGGAAGTTTCAGTGGGAGCAGGAACGTGATGTTCTGCAGCAGAATGTCAGTGACAGCACCTGGGGACTCCTGGGCTCCAACAGAGTATTTTAAAAGTAGAATGAGAGCAGAAAAAAAAAAAAAAAAAAACAACCAAAAACCAATGAGAAGTCCAGAGGATTTGCTTCACAGTGATTGATTTAGAAAGCCCAGAACTTCTCAGAGAATCAGCAGATGGGGGATCAGATCACCATCGGTGTCTGACTAAAGTCTCCTCATGCAAGGCAGGTTGGCACACGAGGACTTGAGAAGATTCAGTGGCTGAAAGATGAAGCGAGACCATTTCAGATTAGATGCACATTTTAAATGAGAACAGGTAGTGGAAAGGGTTGCCAGAAGGAGGCAGGGCTTTGGCTTACAGCAGTGATACGAAGAGAGCACATCTTTCTAGAGAAGAGAGAGAAGGGTTAGATCACAAAATATGGACCCACTTCAGGGAAGGCTGGCTGAAATGGCCCAACTGGGCTATAAGGTGGCCAAGAAGAGGTTTGCAGTGGTCTGGAAGTTGGAAGCTGTTTGCAGTACCCAGCAGTGCACAGCTCTAAATCCAGACAGCAAATGGGGCAGTGCAGCTTGCCCATGTCTCAGAGAAGGAAGGGTGAGCAGAAGTTATATTATTTCTGGGTCACACATTGAACTGGTGGCCAGGCTGGGACTGGAGCAGAGTCTGCTCGTGCTGCCCTGCATGAGGGTGCACCTCCCTCCTTTTCCCCAGGCAGGAGCAGAGCCTGACTGGAGAGGTGTTTGTAGGGATCAAGTCAGAAATTGCTTTTCTCCCCTGAGTATCTCTGAGAGCCCAGAGAAAGAAATAATGTCTTGACATGCATCCAGGTTCTTTAATGAGGGATGTGGCTGGATTAGATGCCTGGTTAGCAGAGGGTGTCTTTTCCAAGCTCCCTGCATCAGTTGGGTCAGCAGATTCTCCCCAAGCTGGGATGCAAGCACCTACTTTTCCAGCCAGAACTGAAGTTTACAGGCAAATCCCACATGTGATTGAGGCAACACATTGCAGATGAACAAGGTCTGGCTTTTTGGGGGACAGAAGGGAGGTGCAAGAAAGGCATGGGGTCAGGCAATGGGTTAAAGTGCACCTAGGTATGATTTGACAATCACTCCCCTGATAACAGCTTATAATGTTTACAATTTGTCTTCTGTTTTGTTTTGTGATTTCAGGAGCAGAAGGCACAGTGTTCCCTAAATCTATAGAAACTCCCAATGTCAGGGCAGACCCCTTCAAGGAACTAAGGTAAACTTTGGAATATGGTTTAATGGTAACTCAGTGGAGCCTTGTTGGAGTTGTGCTTACTGCTGGGCATCATTCTGCTTTTGCAAAAGAGCTTGGGATTCTCTTTGGGAGGCATCACAAGAGAGGATGCCATGGAAGAGAAGGGACCTGCCACATTTACATGTGATATGACCAAACTAAAGGCAGTCACAGGTCATGAGAGCAGCATTTCTGCTCTGTGACGTGCTCTGCATACCCTGGGCTCAGCATTTGGGGGAAAAAAAAACAGAGTAATTTTTTCCTGGTTGTGTGCAGGGAGATACTGAAGGCTGTGCTGGATCACAGGGAGTAGCAGCAGGCAAAAGAATAATGCTCTCCAGTATTACCTGTCTTGCAGAATTGCAAACCCTCCCTGACCTACACGGGGCAGAGCTGTGCATGTGTGTAAGTGCTGGGATGCCACTTGCTGACAGCATTGTGCCAGGGGGAATAAACAGCACAGCTCTGCCCTCACCCTAAGGCTGCGTGTTACACTGATTTCATTTTTTAAAATATTTTTTTTTAAAAGTGTGGCACTACAGGTTAACTTGGATGACTGGTCTCTGGAAAGATACTAATCACATGGCCTAATAAATTACTGAATGAATCACCTGGTATCTTCTGACCAAGAGTGCTGGAAGGGTTTACCTCAATACTCAAATTATCCCTTATTAGAAAAAGAAAGAGAAATATTATAACAAACAAACAAACAAACAAACATACAAAAAACCACAAAAAACCCACACACACCAAAAAAAAAAAAACCACTACAGAAGGACATTTTGTCCTTAAATCTTGGGTTGCCACCTCTCCTTTGCCAGAAAGTGCTGGGATGGAGCAATCTTGAGCCAGCTGTAGTTGAGCACAAGTGCTGCAGATTTCCTGCAGATGCAGGGGGCTGAGAGAGAGCTCCTCTCATGGATTCCCTGCTCTGATACCAGGGACAGTTATGGCCCAGCTAGGTCACCAGGGAAGATGAAGAATATCCCATCTGCCTTCCCTTGGGTCTGTCTCTACCTTTCAGTTTCCCCCAGGAAACCCTCTAATTGTTCCAATTTCCCACTCTGGGGATCGCCTGTCAGACAGCAGGAGCAGTGGAGGCGTGATTGGGTTTGTTATGAAAGTTTGTTCTCTTCCTCCAGACAGTGACTTTAACCCTCCCTCGTGGTTTTCCCAGTTTGGGTCTGCTTCCTTTTAAAAAAAAAGAGGAAATGTGGTCTTTCCTCACTGTAATGTGCAGCTGGCAGGGCAGCTCCAGGGGCTGCTGTGGGGCAAAGCTCTCCACTTCCCTGGAAAATCCAAGCAGACAAAGGCATCAGCAAATGGATTTCTAGGTGACCTCCAGGTGACAAAGGCTTTCTGGCACAGCCCATGTTCACTGACATTTTCATTAAAAAATAAAAAAATAAAAATTTAAAAAAAGCAAGATCATGGTTAAAATATCCAATAGCGTTTCCAAAATTTACAAAGCCAGGTCTTGAGTAGTGCAAAAGAGATGAAAGATTCAGGTCCAAGTCTGTGATCATTTAAGACTTTCCTAAAATGGGAGGGAGTTGGAATCCAAATAAGTGTAGGATGTTGTATTGGGGTGGGAAAATGTGAATTAAAAGGGCCTTAACCTGATTGACTATGCTTCTGTTCCAAAGCAAATTAAGCTAAATGAAACTGAAATTAATTTGTGGCAGTATCGATGCAAGTGATTGATTCAGTATATTTAATCTGCTTTAAATTCATGTTGTTATTTCACTTGTTTTGTGTGGAGAGCTGTTAGGTAACTGATTTCCTTTTGAAATAGTGGACTGGGTGAAAAAATCCTGTAAAATCTGTTAGAGTTTCTGTATTTTTTTTTTTAAGGAAAATTATTGAATAGAATTTACCTGGTGAAGAAAAGTCCCACAAAGTCCTAAAATATTTTGTGTTCTTCTGACAAATTTATCTTGGCAAAAATAAACGTTTTTACAGCATCCTGAGAAGAGCCAGTGGTGGCAGTGTTTAGGGAAGGGAAGGTTTTCCAAGAACAAATGCTCTACTGCTCCCCAAACCAGGATCCATCCATCTCTCTGCATGTTGGATCACTGGCTGCTTCTTAGGTAAAACTGTGCCTTTTGGGGGCAGTACAGAGTTAATAGTGAAAATAATCTTACCCTGAGGGGAGATTTTTTGGTTCCTTCCTGTTTTGATGGCAGTGTGTGTGCATAAGGTGTCCTTTTTGCCTCTTTACAAAGATGCTGCAGTGAAATGGGGCTGGAGGAGATGGGCCCCGAGCTGTCACACATCGCTGGGAAAGCAGCAGAGAAATCAAACACTCAGTAGCTGGCTTGCCTCTAAAAGACTTTTTTTCTGCAATAAATAGTGCTTAGGCTGAAGCTCTCAGGTGGAAAGTGCACATTCAGCTGCTGCAGGTGCCCCCAGGCACCACCAGCCTCCATCTTCATCCTAAAGCAAAGATTGTGATCCGTTGGTGATTCCTCCCTTTGCTCTTGTCAGTGCCCACTCCTTTTGTTAGATTTCAGAATGAGGTGGCAGCGATTTGCTGTCACAAGGGGAGGAGACCAGCTGCTCCTGTCCCACCTGGGAGTCAGGACACCTGGATGTCCTCCTTCCCTTCCTCCTCTCCTGGACAGACAGACTCCCTGGCAGGACAGGCAGGATGTGCCGCTCATCTCTGCTCCTGCTTTTCCTCCCTTCTCCCCAAGGCCTTCAGTCACACCCGTGTGTCACCACAGCTGACACGCTCCAGGTGACAGGACACTTGTTCTGGACAGACTTTCTGTCCATTTGGCTGAGGAATGCTCTTCATCATTCAGCTGTATTGGTAATTCAGCTGCTCTCTAAGGTGCTCATCATCCTGGTGAGCCTCTGCTCAGGGTCCTTTCTAAAACACTTTTGCAGCAGTTTAGAAGGAGAGAATCCCAGCGGGAATATGTGCACAGCCTTTTCCTAACATGCTAAGCCCATCTCGAGGCTCCAAGAATTGGTTTTGTGCTTGTTTGAGTCAGCTCTGGACTTTGCTGCAGACAGACTCACGTGTCTAAAACATTCCTGCTCAGTGTTCACTGTGGTAGGGATGCCAGAGCTCATTAATGTCTTGTTTAATGCAGGGTGTAATTAACAGGGCATGTTTCCTACCTGGGCTCTAGAATATTCCTTAATAGTGTCCTAAAAACTAGAGATGGTTGACAAATTATTTGATTTACTTTTGTGAACTTTTTCATAGTTCTATGTATTTAAAGTAATTTTAGACTCCTGAATGTATTTGTTGTTGTTCGTTGGGTTCTAAACTGGTCAAAAGCTGTAAAAAGGAAAGCAAACAAATCCAAATTATTTTCAAATACTTAAGATGTTTTTCATTGCCATGTGTTATCATCCCAAAATAGTTTAGGGGGAGGACTTGGGAGATTTGTTTGGACGTTGAAATATTTGTACTCATCTGCATTGATGCTTTTTAAAGCAGGTTGGTGCCTTTGACATATGGTAATGTGATTGCTTCTGTATAAAAGTTGAATTCAATATGACCTTTTCTCACTGGATTATTTGAGTGGCACCCAAGCAGCTTGTCAAGAACCTGCCTTGAGAACCTCTCCTTGACATTGGCAGGAATCAGCTGCCTTTTTCTATTTACATTCTTCCAGAAAACAAATACACGCCAGAGATGCTAACAGAAATTGTCCATCAAACACCAGATCAGCACTCTTCAGAGGTGAGGGATAAAGGCTGGACTAGCCACTGAATAAGGAAGGAGGAAATAGTTTGAGGGGAGGGGATTAAAAGGTGGGTGATGAAATATAAAAAAAAAGTATCCAGGAGGGTGCTGTTAAAGTGCCAAGTGCTGGAAGCTGGGGATGGTGTGGGCTTGGAGCAGAGCTGCCTTAAGAACCAATGTCCAGGTCATGCTGCAGCTTGGAAACCTGCTCTAGGGTATTTCTGTTCCCAGAGTTAAATAAAAAGAAGTCAGACAGCATGAAATTCACTCCATGAGGGGCAAGCACACACCTGGAATTCATCCACAGATACCATGAGTTGAAAATGCAGCAAATCACTCATCCAAGGCCAGGAAGGCAAAGGATGACTGTTTTTTTTTTCTATAATGCACAAATATAGTTAAGGGAGAATTAATCCCTTGGGCTTAAAGGGGTAATTTTTTGGCTAAAGTTAATTATGAAGCACCGAAAGCACGAAATGGCAGATGAAATGTGCTTGCTGCTTGATTTTATTAGTGCAATTCTACCTTACCACGTACTGAACTATCCAAATAGTCCAAGGGAGACCTATTGTAACAAAAAACAATTTAAATATAGTGCTGAGCTAACATAACAATACTCATTTTGAAAAACAGGAATTCTTACTGAGTTAAGGTTTCTCTCAGCTGTGTTTCACAAGCCACCATAGATAAGTAGGAACACAAATAATATTTCTGTCTAAAACCAATTACATTAATAATGATTAAGAGGAGAAAAAATAGAGGAAATGCAAAAAATTGATGGTATAAAAGAGAAAGCAATTGGTGAGAAATGAAAGTCATTTCTAAAGAGTAATATATGATACTGAAACACTGTTTAGTTCACAGGGAACACTTGTGGATTCCTGTGAGGTGTCAGCAAGGGGGAGATGACCACTGTACCCCTGTACAGTGCTGGTGTTATTTTCTGATTGTTTCACCAGCAGGGATGCAATTTATTTCCCTGCTATACCAGTGCAATCCAAATAATTTTGGTAGTCCTAGCAGCTTAAAAGACAACAGATTTTCCTTGGGATGAGCTTTACCTTCCCCACTGTAACAAATATAACTATTTTCAGTTACTTTCAGACAGGTTGAACATGAACAGGATGTACATGAACATATCCACTAAAGCCAACACAAATCTATTCATACACAACTAAAAGGAGACACCAGGTTCCTGGTTTCTGAACTTCAAGCTAATTTCAGTGGTCTTTGGAGAGTTGCTTTCAAATGAGAGAGATCCTCATGCACCAACAATTTT